GATCCTTATAGCATTCCACTAGTTGTGTTTCTCCAATCTGAAAAAGATCATTTAATCCCAACTGTCTGTCTTCTGTGTGTTAACCAACCAACACAGTGGGAATGAAAATACGTTTCAAATTCTCTGCAGCAATTGTGTTTCACTCACACCTCCTCTTATCCCCCAAAGTCAAATTTGACCTCAGTTAGCTGAAAAGGCAACACATCTGATTCCAGGTTTGTCCAAAGCAATCTAATGCACACCAGGTTGGACCATAGTATTTGAGATTCAGTGCAAATCCCTACAACTGGTTCAGGATTCTCTACTTTGAGGGAGCAGAGAGCTGCCCAGAAACTCAAAACTGCAGAGAGAGGTCTGTTTGGAAGACAAAAAGTAAAGTCAGGATAGGGGCTTAGAGATTGAAATTCAGAATGTTGATGTTAAGCTTACTTTAAAGAAGTGTGAGAGTATATTATGTTTATCTTCTGTTTCTTCTACTCGAATCCATTCATTAGGAAAACATAGAAATGAATGGTAGGGGAATAGGTAACACAAAATTGTAGTAAATCAACAGTCTATGGACGTCATGTTGAGGTTGTACAGAACGTTAGTGAGGCCTCTTCTAGAATACTGTTTGCAGTTCTAGTCACCCTGTTATGGGAAAGATATTATTAAACTGGAGAGGGTTCAGAAAAGACTTACCAGGATGTTGCTGGGAATGGAGGGATTGTGTTATAAAAATAGATTGAGACTTACTTCACTGGAGCGTAGGTGGTTAGGGGGTGACCTTATAGAGGTTTATAAAATCATGAGGGGCATTGATAAGGTGAACTGCGAGATTCTTTTCCCAAGGGGGTTCAAAACTAGAGGGCATACATTTCAGGTGAGAGGAGAAAGATTTAAAAAGGACATAGGGGCAACTTTTTTACACAGTGAGTGGTTTGTGTGTGGAATGATCTGCCAGGGGAAGTGTTGGATGCAAGTACAGTTACAACATTTAAAAGGCATTTGGACAAGTACATGAATAGGAAAGGTTTGGAGGGACAGGGGCCAAACACAGGCAGGGGTGGGTGTAGTTTAGTTTGGGAACATGGTCTGCATGGACTAGTTGGACCAAAGGGTCTGTTTCTATGCTGTATGACTCTGTGGTCTGATTTCCATTGGAGTGGTTTGTCATTGCCTGTTCTCGTGTTATATCCTCAGACCAATGACCCCTAATGAGCTTTTAATCACAGAGCGATTGCAGAGCCTGTTCTTCGAATGAGCATTTGTTGTTTAATTACTCCTTTTCCAGATTTAGGAGTTCACGAGAGCAACACTATGAACAAATCTTTCTCAGAAGGGGATAAAAACTGTAAAACATGCTCCGACCCATTTTATATAACTCAAAGCAGAGATCCAGTATCACCAGTACGTTCATTTTAAACTATTGCTGGTTTGTTACTGTTTTGTTTTCTTCTGGGAAACTGTGTACAACACAGTACCAGTGCCAAAACTGCCCCACTTTTTAATCTACTTTCTAGTCATTGCAACTATGTTGCCTTGCGACTTCATATCACTTCTAAAAAATATCATCGAAGAGATGACAAACAGCACATTGCTCACCACAGACTATCCCTGATCTTCTTCATCTTTTTAGTCTGGAAGCAGCAAGTCAGAAATTATGTGACCCCATAGAACATGAACTTTGACTTAAACTATGGACTGGAATCAAGGACTGTGTCATTTTGTGCTCTGGGAAACCATTTAGAATTGTCAACATTGCAATACAGAATGGGACCATTTGTCCCTTTGAGACAGTCTTAAAGCTAATTCTTCAACTTGCATTCTTTATGCAAAGTGCTAAAGCATGGCCCTGTGCCACTTTGCATGCCATTTTGATCAGGCTTCTAAAGAAACATCTGGGCCTTTTTATTTTCTACACCATTTTGCAGAATGTGAATTTAACAGAAGCTATGGTTATGTTTTATTAAAAGGATATTTATTTTTATTTCGTGGCCATACTGATAGGTGAACCAACTTAATACATCAAGCCTCTGAAGTAGTTCTGCATGTATCTTTAGAACTGAGTTTTTCGGAGCAAGAGTCCCATCAGGCAGAAGATGCATAAGTTTGAAAACACATACCAACAGATTTAAGAACAGCTTCTTCCCCGCTGTTAACAGACATATGAATGGGCCTCTCATATATTAGAGTTGATCTTTCTCTGCACCTTCTCAGTAGCTGCAACACTATATTCTGCATTCTGTTCTATTACCCTGTTTTACTTATGTAATGTATGATTTGTCTGGACAGCACGCAAAACAATACTTTTCACTGTATCTCCTTACATGTGACAATAATAAATCAAATCAAAATCAAAATCCAAAAATACAGTATGTGTTTAATGATATATACCTCTCCGGTCATTATTGTTCAGGCCAGTTGTGTAGGATTCTAGACAGACATCCTCAAGCTGATGCCTCAGGACTCGTGACTCCCACCCAATTGCCCCATTCTACTTAACTTACTTAAAGAACTTAACTGTAACCAGAACCCACCCTCTACAACTGGATCCTCAGCTTTCTGACCCATAGGTTATAATCGGGTAACTGCACCTCCTCCACAATAACACTCAACACTGGAGCCCCCCAGGGATGCGTCCTCAGCCCCCTACTGTACTCCCTGCACACTTATGACTGTGTTGCCAAATTCCAAAAAAACACCATCTACAAGTTCGCTCACAATACCACTGTAGTGGGGCGGATATCTAAGAATGACAAGTCAAAATACAGAAGGGAGATAGAGGGCTTGGTGACTTGGTGCAATGAAAACAATCTGTCTCTCAATGTCGACAAAATTAAAGAACTGATCATCGACTTCAGAAAGAAAGGAGGAGAACTCACCCCCATCTACATTAACAGAACTGAGGTGGAGAGAGTGAAATGCATCAAGTTCCTCAGAGTGACAATAACCGATGACCTGTCCTGGACTTCCCACGTAGGTGCGACACTCAAGAAGGCACAACAACGCCTCCTCTTCCTTATGCAGCTCAGGAAATTTGGCATGTCCATGAGGTCCCTCACTACTTTCTACAGATGCACCATTGAAAGCATACTGTCCAGGTACATATTGGCCCAGTACGGCAACTGCTCTGCCCAGGACCATAAGAAACTACAGAAGGTGGTGAGCACAGACTAGACCATCACAGAAGCCAACCTTCCATCCATGGACTCTATCTACATGGCTCAATGCCACAGAAAGGCGGCCAACATCATCAAAGACCCATCACACCCTGGTAATGATCTACAACCGCTTCTGTCAGGCAGAAAACACAGAAGCCTGAACACACACACAGGCAGGTTCAGGAACAACTTCTTTCTGGCCGTTATCAGATTGTTGAATGGATTTTAGCCTCAAATAATGTAGCCTGTATGCCTCTAAGTCTTTTTGATCTGTACATCCTTTGATTACTATGATCTGCCTGTACCACTCGTAAACAAAACTTTTCACTGTATTTCAGTACATGTGACAATAAAATCAAAATAAAAAGGTAAAGCAAGAACTTCCATTGAGTTAGTGCCTTTCACAAACACAGGACCTTCCAGCCAACCGAATGTTTGTGGAATAATGTAGCCTATTATTGCAATTTAGGAATTGGTGGCAATCAATTTGCACACAGCAAGATCTAACAAACAGCAATGCAATCCATTTTAGTGACGTTTTTGTGTAATTAATGTTGGCTAGGTCTCCATGGAGACCTTGTCTTCTGCTTTGGATTGAATGGGCTGATGAGGACTTGCTCTAACATCTCATCATAAAGATGTCACTCCTTCAGTGTTGACCAGAGAGGCGACCCGAAGCATGTACTCACAGTTCCAGAATGGAGCTTACAAGCTTCTGACTCTGAGGTGAAAACTATCCCATTAAAGCTACAGGAGATAGAACCACCTGCAATTCTGACAAAACCCACTATGGAGCTTTGACACTGTCAGGACTGTAGGAACAGCCAATCATATTGGCCGGCTGTTCGATAGGTTAAGACATTCTCCTAGTGCAGAGCAGAAGTTCCAAAATTCATCATCTTAGCCCAACCTCGATGCATTATAGCTGCAGGACAGGCCTGTTACTGCTGACTTTTCTTCTTGGTGAGCTGTCAGCCTGCCCTCTTCACCTCCAGTGATTTTCTGTCCCATGCTGCCTTATTACAATCACCTTTTCTTTTATTACTTTTCCCGTTACCAACAACCCTTTGTCTTTTCCTGCCTTCCATCCTATCACAGACCTTTCCTTTAGTTCTTTCCTTGTCTCCCATTCCCACTCTGTACTGGATTACAAATAGCTAAATCTGCAACTCCTTCCAGTTGCGATGGAAAATCTGAAACATTAACTCTGTTTTAGCATGTGTGTCATAAATGGCCAGACAGGTTGGTTGCCAATCTGCGACCCTTTCCAATGCTCTGTTGACGGGCGCTAAGAGAGAAAAACTTTCCTGGTTAGCCAGAACTGAGTGGTAGATGGAGTGCAAAAGCCTCCCAATGATAGAAGTCTTCACATGCAAGTTCTTGCCTTGAGTGTCATGCTCCTCTGAGGGATTAACCACATACACACACACACACAGACGCGCACACACACAGACATGCACACACAAACACATACACACACACACACACACACACACACACAAATAGACACGCACACACCTGCAGAAAAGACATGGAGACACAGATACACACATATACTCACACACAAATGTATTTAAACATCCATACATAAAGATACCTGTGAAGATATCCAAATAGACAGAAACATGGAAGTATTAGCAATCTACCATGCAGTGGATATAGGGAATTAAATATTATTTTTGTGCTGAAGGCATAAGAGACTGAAAGACATTTCTGTGTAAATGGGGCAAATTAAAGCTTAATCTTGTCCCTGCAATGCTGCCTTACTCCACCTTGACCCAATTAATTGCCGCAAATCCTTAACCATGAGTGTGTAATGCCTGGTTTAGATGCAGCTATTGTTATCCTTTTATTCAGGTATCTGTGTACCACTTCTCGACGGCACCAGTCACAGAACCCTCCCTGGGGACATACAAGAGCACACCAAGAAGGGAACCCACCATGGATCCAAGGGCACGTATTGGCAGATTGTGGGAAACACACAGGCGAAACCATCACGTGAGAAAGGTTAGTGGCATTATCACCTTTCAGTAGAATCAGCAAAGTGTGGAAAAATGTCACACCTTGCCCCCTCCAGCAATTATGAGACAATGTGGAGTGAGAACTACTTCAGTCAGATCTGGGACCCAATACCAGATGCATTGTACTACACATATAATAATCATAGATTCCCTACAGAGTGGAAGCAGGCCCTTTGGCCCATCAAGTCCACACCAACCCTCTGAAGAACTTCCCACCCAGATCCACCCCCTTACCCTATCCCTGTAACCTTGCATTTCCGTGGCTAATCCACCTAACCTATACATCCCTGGACACTGTGGTCAATTTAGCATGGCCTATCCACATAATCTGCACATCTTTGGATCAAATCAGTCTGTATTACACAGTGCCACTTAGTGTATGTACTGACTGAGGCACTCTGAAGTAAATTGAGGGTGAAGAGAATAAAGGATGGTAGTAATATTTTTCATATGTACATTTATTGCTGCCCATGTGGTCCTTGAAGTTCACAACAGTAACTTCTGGAGGACAATGAAGGTGCCTGAGGCTGAATCTAGCCACAGATAATCGTGGGTTTTGCAACGGTTTTCAGTCAATCCGAAGCCTTTTTCTTCAACCCCATAATCTACACTTGGCAGGTTTCTCTGTACATTGCTAATATAGTTGCTGTTCTCCTATTGCTATGTTAAGTTGCAGCAGTCACGCACTGGGCCATTAGTGGCTTCTATGAATGACAATGAGTGAAATAGCAAGGATGTTTGGTTTTGTGACATGCTTGTTAAAACTCCAAGGGAACCTCAGAAGAAGCCACTTGTTCCTCCCAATCTAGTCAAATGTGTTCACATGTTAGAAGAATTCAGAGTCAAGCTTTTGCAGGCATTGTTAAAGAATAATTCATTTAGGCTCCTGGTTTCCAATTTTTTTTATTCACATACTGAAGCTTTAAAGTTAAATCTAGCAAATGAAAGATGTTCTCAGCTATTGCTGATCATTTCCTAAAGAAGGAAGGACTATCATCGATATAGACTGATCGATTCGCTGATTCGCATTGTTAGGTTATACTGTTTGCATTGGTCAGCAGCACATTTCCAAAGTTTGTATTGAGAAGTGTTGCTGGGGGAGAGTTTATTAGGCTCAACCAAACTTCCTCCAACCTCACCCTCCTATTTGACCCTCAGCTGAGTTTCTGATCCATATTCTTTCATTCATAAGGACCAACTCCTTTCAAGTTTGTAACACCATGCGCTCCTATGATTGTAACATTCACCCTTGCCTTTCTCAACTCCAGACTTCACCATTTCAATGTTCTTCTTTTCGTAAACATCTGTGCAGCCCAAGTCTGGTCCAATCCCAGGTGAGTTGATAGAGACTCATTTTTGCCTGTCTCACCTGGTCTACATTGCCTCCCAGACTCTCAATGCCTTCAATTTAAAGTTCATTTTTGTCTTCTAAATCCCTCCTTATCCATGGAACTCCCTCCCAGTTTACAATCATTCATAAACTCTATATTCCTATGACATTTCCATCTTAGATATGCCATTTCCATCACTTCACCACTTTTGGCTGTGCTTTTGACTTTCCTACTCTCTCCAGTTCCCTTCTAACACATTCTTGCCTCTCCATCAAAGGCAGACACTCTTAAACCACTTATTCGACCAAGCTTTGATCACCCCCTACTAATAACTGCTCTTTTTGACTCTTTATTGATGTGGTCATGTTCTTTAGTACTTTAATAATCCTACTTCAATCAATGCAAGCCAGTTGAGATTTTGTCCTAGTTTTGAACTCCCCCACCCTAAGGAAAATACCTTTGCTATTCACCATATCTATGTTCCTCATGATTTTATGAACATCAACAAGGTCATCCCTCAACCTCCTATGCTCCAGTGAAAAAAAAATCCCAGCCTACCCAGTCTATTTTTATAACTCAAACCCTTCATTCCCGGCAACATCCCGATAAATCTTTTATGAACCCACTCCAATTTAATAAAATCCTTCCTAAAGCAGGGTGACCAGAGCTGTACACCGTACTCCAGAAAAAAGCCTCATCAACATCCTGTACAACCTCAACATGGCGTCCCAACTCCTATACTCAAAGGTCTGAGCAATGAAGACAACTGTGCTAAACACGTTCTTAACCATCCTGTCCACCTGTGACACAAATTTCAAAGAATTATCTACCTGAACCTAGGACTCTCTGTTCTACAACACTACCCAGGGCCTTACCATTAATTGTACAAGTCCTGCCCTTGTTTGTTTTACCAAAATGCAGTACCTCACATTTATCCAAAATAAACTCCATCTGCCACTCCTCAGCCTATTGACCCAATTGATCAACATCTCTTTGTAATCTTAGATAACCTTCTTCACTCTACACTATACCACCAATTTTCGTGTCATCAGCAAACTTACTAACTGTGCCTCCTATACACTCATCCAAACCTTTTATATAAATGACAAACAACAGTGGATCCAGTACCAATCTCTGCGGAACGCCGCTGGTCACAGGCCTCCAGTCCAGAAAACAATCCTCCACCACCATGCTCTGTCTCCTACCTTCAAGCCAATTCTGTATCCAGTTGGCAAGCTCACCCTGAATCCCAAGTGATCTAACTTTATTCATTAGTCTACTATGCAGTATCCTGTCAAAGGCTTTTCTAAAGTCCATATCAATAACATCTACTGCTCTGTACTCATCAATACTTTTGGTTACTTCCTAAAAAAACTCAATCAAGTTTATGAGACACAGTTTCTTTCACACAAAACCATGCTGACTATCCCTAATCATTCCTTGCCTCTCCAAATGCATGTTAACCCTACCTTCTAGAATCACCTTGAACAACTTATCCACCACCGATGTCAGCCTCACAGGTCTATAGTTCCCAGGTTTCTCCTTGCAGCCTTTCTTGAATAAAGGCACGACATCAGCCACCCTCCAGTCCTCTGGTACCTCACCTAGGTGTTTCTGGATACCTGAAGAAATGCAAATGTTATATTATTGTTTAAAAGTGGGTGTAAGGATAAAGCAACATTCAGAGCATGATAACCTGGGAGAAAGTTAACAGTCAGTTGGCCAAGCATAGATCAATTCAAGAAAGCCAGAGCAGATTTGTTAAAGGCAAATCATATTCAATGAAGTTGATTGAGGTTTTTGATGAAGTAACAAAGATGGCTGATCAGGGTAATGCAGTTGACATGGGATGTGTGGACTTCCAAAAGACCATGCAAAGCAATATCAAATGTAATAAAGATCTCTTATCTGCCACGGAATAGTTTTATTGTCACTATCCCTTTCCATCTGACTCCCCTGGGTTGACCACACTTCAGATGAGGTAGATATTCTGAGATCAGGCAGAGATCCCTCCAAACCTAACCACCAATGCATCCCCTCCACTCTTCCAAGGATTGGCAGCATTGTCGACTCATGCCTGCTCCTAAGTTTCGGAGTTGTGTCCTTAAACCGCTTACCCTCTCCTTCAAGTTCAAGCTCTTTGACCACTGGCCAGCCAGCCCTGTCCATGTCCCACAAGTCCATTAAAACAAATACTATTGGGTCCAACCCTACAGATATCACCTTCTGACTCTTTGTTGCTTATTGTCTGTTCATATACGTGACCACACTTTGCTTTTCCAATATTAAAGGTGCCAAATAAGTGCAAGCTGGTTGTCATTCATGTTGTGCAGGTCATGAAGGGGACTCGTGTTTGCGCTCGTCAGACTGCGCAGAAGGATTCTGCTGCGCTCGCCACTTTTGGACCAAGATCTGTAAACCAGTCCTACGCCAAGGGGAAGTATGCACAAAGCAGAAAAGGAAGGGTTCGCATGGTTTGGAGCTTTTCCAGCGCTGTGACTGTGCGAAAGGACTTGCCTGTAAAATCTGGAAAGAGGCCAAATCAAGGTTGCACATCTGCCAGAAAATATGAGTATGTTGGGATTCCACTGCGGCCCTGAGACTGTGAAGCAAGGTGCTTTTGTAGGAGCACATTGTGTAAATAATACAGGATTTGTTAAAGTGCCATTTCTCTCGCAAGAGTTCATTCATGCTTATTGTAAAAGAACACAGAGGACCAGGTCTGAAGACCACAGCACATCCATTCTGACCATTATATAATAGTCCACCACGTCCAAATTAATTGAAGACCGTCAGTAACCTTTGTGGGGAGTGTTGAGCTGTAGCCTTTGATTTACTATTCAGTTTATAAAACGTATGAAAAAACATAATACTCAGGATGTAAGCATTGCAGAAAAGATGGGCATTTATTGCTCCTCCCTAGTTGCCCCTTGAGCTGATGGTAGTTTTGAACTGCTTCAGTCAGTGGTGAAGGTGCTCTCACTGTTGAGGCAGTTTCAGGTTTTCAGTCCATATAATTATAACACAAAGAAAGTCTCTGCAAATGTCTTTCTGTGCTCTTGGCTTGTTGGTTCTGCACTGCCATTTTGAACGATTTCTTCTCGTGGCCAATACAAGGCCATATACATTGACCTTCACAAGGCCTCCCTCAGACGGAGTTGTTCAGCCTTCTTCTGTAACCATTGTAGTCCCTTTGATCTGTACCACAAATTTAATTTTTCCAGGAAACTGGAGAAGATCAGTCATTCATCAATGGTGTTGCCCCAAAATGGTGTTCATTTCAACTGTATGATCCCATTTAGCAGATTCACACATTTGATAACATTACGCAGTAATACGCTCTGCTTATAATTCAGTGATTGGCCTACAACAATGGCTGTGTATATACCAATCCATGAAAATGTAACTTAATTTATAACTGACAAACTCAGACGTGAGGAATGTGGGAAGAGGAGTAGACGTTTCGGCCCCTTCGCCTCCTTTGCCATTTAATCAGATCATGGCTGCCATGTACCTCAGTGGGCTAACCATTTCTGTGTAATAGCCTGGGACCCCCCGCAATCGTTCACTAAATTTATTCACAAATATCACACCGGAAAGCAATGATGCCACAAATCAAATACAGTTAGAAGACAGCATTTGCTAAATTAGCACAATTGGGAATAAATATTAATGTATTATTAGTATAATGCAAATCAAGATGTGAAAAGGCCCATTTAAATTAATCACTAACTACATGGTAGAAGTTATTTAAGGGAACAATGAACTAGTCATATTGACTGAAATGGCCTAATGGACCTGTTAATCAATTTTTTTTCAGCCTATCATGCAAGTCTTTATTTCTCTTCCATGATGTTTAAAATAATGAATATATTTTGAAAAACAAAAAAAATGCAAGTCATTGTGGTCAATGTGAAGGGTATAGGTGACAAATTTTAATTTCTGTCTTGGTAAATCTGTCATTACTTTATATTGTACAGATTTATGTAAAACAGGTCAAAACCAATTAATAGCGGGAAGAAGATGGTGACAGACTCAGAACGGATAAATAGATTGGTACAACAGGCAAAAGTTTAAGTAAGTTTAATGCAGTGAAGTAATTTATTCTGGAAGATTGAGCAGAAGTGTTAAGAGATCTAGAGGGTCACAGACACAGATTCGTTGAATATGGCTGAATAATTTGAAAAGGCTGTTAAAATAAAATGGGATCCTTGGCTTTATAAATAGAGCCACAGAGTGCAAAGAAAGGAAGTTACGGTAAAGTTTTGAGAAAACACTAGTTTGACTTCCACTGGAGAATTGTGTCCCATTCTGGGCAACATAATTTCATGGGGATTTCGAAACCTTGGAAAGGGTGCAGAGGACATTGAGAAAAATGGTCCCAGTAATAAGCAACTTCAGTTATGTAGAGACATTAGTCACACTGTAATACAAACATAAGAACATAAGAAATAGGAGCAGGAGTCGGCCATCTGGCCCATCAAGACTGCTCCACCATTCAATAAGATCATGGCTGATCTTTTCATGGCCTCAGTTTTGCCTACCTGCCCACTCACTATAACCCTTAATTCCTTTACTGTTCAAAAATCTATTTATCTTTGCCTTAAAAACATTCAACGAGGTAGCCTCAAATGCTTGAGATAACAAGGTGTACAGCTGGATGAACACAGCAGGCCAAGCAACATCAGAGGAGCAGGAAAGCTGACGTTTCGGGCCTAGACCCTCTCAGCCTCAAATGCTTCACGGGGCAGAAAATTCCACAAGTGATCTTTCTCCTTAGAGCAGAAAAGGTTAAGGGAGTATTTAATAGAGATTCTCAAATTTAAGAAGCAGACTAGGTAGGGAGAAATTATTTCCACTATCAACAACCAGAAGATGCAGATGGAGGTAATTGATAAAAGAACAAGGGAGGAGATGAGGAGAATTTGTTTTACACAGTTAGTTGTTATGATCTGGAATGCATTTTCTGAAAGGATGCTGAAAGGAGATTCAATAATAACTTCAAAAGGTAACTGGATACATAATTGAAATGGAAAGTCTTGCAGGACTATGAAGAACACGCAGCATGAGTTGATCTATTAGAATAGTTTTTTCAAAGCTTCTGTGCTGTGTGATTCTGTTTATACTGATCTGTTTTCCAATTCTTACCTCTTGTTCAATGTAAACGATTCAACTAACATGGGGCACATGTTAAAAATCAGATCAAGCCTTTTGAAACACTTATGTTACCTGGAGGCAGAATGGTTTGAAAGAGAAGTGACAAGGGAGGTTAGTGGGGTTAGTCTATCAAAAGGCCTCAATCATCCTGTGTTCCTGCAGGTTCTATTTGATCTCAATATTTTCAATTCAACAGAGCAGCAACATAATTTGCACTCATGTTGATATCTTCATCTTGAAACCTTAGAGATTTTGACCTGATAGTTTCAAACATTAGTTTTAAACCATTACAAGCAGAATAATGCACAATAAAATTACAACTGGAGGAAAAAAAACATTGTTTTCTTCAGTAGTAGAACTGGGATCCTACCAAAGAGGAAACCCATTAAGCACCACCCCAAATTTTCTTTTACATTGTTGGCTAGGGTGTAAAAATGAGCTGCCAATTTGCTGGGAGACCCATGCAGCATTAGTAATTTTGCCCGCAAGTTATCTTAATAGAGGTTTTCCACATAAAAGTGCCAACATATGATGGAAGTACATATCAGGAATTTGTGCCATTCCTGTACCAAAATTAATGAATGCAAGATCAGAGCCCATGTGTCTGAAGTGCACATTACTGGCATGTGCTGGGAATAGAAACCTCCCTTAATGATGTTCACGTGAGATCAGATAACCAAGTTAGACTTCACAGGTACAGCCACATGCACACACCTGCTAATGTTTAATGTAACTTCGCCCCTGCAGTAGCCAGTGAATATGAAACTTTTTTTTGATGCAACAGGAGGAATTGTTACAAAGTTTACAGTTAGAGGCAGTGGGTAAAAGTTTAAGAGCCAGGTTTACCAAAGAAAGAAAAGACAGATGTCAGTTGGGATTTATAGTCTAAAAATATCAGTTAAGATAGAAACGAACACAGGATGTGTTATCAAAGGAGAGAAGCAGAAAATGAAACCTCTAAGTGGTGGCTAAACCTTTTAACTGTAAATTTGTATAGGATTTTATGTACAGTATTGTAAGCCAAAACTTGGGATCTTTTTGAAGAAATAAAATCAAGCCAGTTCCTTTCCCAGCAGTGCATGCTCAATTCAGGCTTGCTGGCATTGGGAATGAATGCAACTTGTTTTTTTTTGTTTAAGAGTTCCCTACAAATATCAAAATATATTGTTAATATGAGGACACCCTGAGGGTTTAAAGCACATAAAGGGCGCAATGAAGTATGTATTATTGATGAAAAATGCTTATTACAAAAGATGTAACATAAATAAGGTCATTTTAGTCTTCCCTTCTCGCTCACTCCAACACATAACAATAGAGAGACTGGAAGAATGAATAGCGAAATAATATTGGAAAGCATGTTGTAGAGAGTAATGGGAGTGTTTACTAGAAAATCATCTCATTAAAAGAGTTCACGTTGTTTATTAATCACTTGAATTTTGTTCTTATTGTTTATCTATCTTCACCTGTATCCCTTGATGAGATAATTTTTATTGTAACCATTTCAGCAGTTAGTTTTCTAATAGCTACAGCAACGCTGTTGATGATATAATGACTAACTTTATGATTAAAGGACGTCAGCCTGCAGTATGTTACTAAGAAATGGCACTGTGTAGATGTAATACAGATATCCACAGGCTGAACTGGTGCAGGCATGGGTTTCCAAGCTGGTTTGGGACCTGGATGTGCACAAACTAGATCTGAGCCTTCAAGAGGACCTTGAACCATCTCTACTGCATTCCACTGACTATACATTATTTTGAGTAAATTATGCAAGGTATTGCTTCCTCTCGCTCCTTTCTAAAGGAAAATTGGCCCATTACAAGTGAGGAAGATTTAGGAAATGATAAACACTAGCTTGATTTCACTAATGTTACAGTTGTCAGGGATGTAGAATTGCAGATGAATAAATTTTGCTTACACAAGCAAAGGTTTCAGAGAGGGTGAATCAGGGGATGAAGTACCAAGTGCATGTTTTAATAAAGCTTTTAGTTTTTTATTCACTTCGCGGTCACAATTAATTACGGTTTGCTGAGCAAAGTCAAAAGAAAATTGTTATCTCATTGCCCGGTTTCATAATTGCTTAAAAAGTAGCCATTATAATCTGAGAATATTCTTAAAGTTTTGCACTTACTTTCTTAACCAGTCATCACAGATTTCAGAGAATTGACAGAAATCACAATATTTTACCAAATTCTATCATCAAAGAACATTGAAACAATTTAAGCAAACCATATTGCTGTAGAATTCTTACATTCACTGCCAGTGTTGCTTTCAAGAGCTGTTAATATCATTCAACAGGAATTGATTATATTCAATTATTGTATTTTTTCAAATTTTAGAATGAGTAAAGTTTTTTTTGTATAGTACAGTTTTACATGTATTCAGAATGATTTATTTTACATGTGATAATTCATAATTTTTTAAATAAAGCAAATCATGATTGTTCATCAACAATGCTTTTTACTTAACAGTTGCGTTTCTTTAGTTGCTATGTAAATGAACTCTTATATCTCAATGCATCTACTGGACCATAGGGCTGCTCTCCCATTAAAGAGAGAGATGACCAGCAGTGGCTCACCACACCTCAAGTAAGGTTGAGAAGGTGTGATCTTCATCAAAACCTAAGCCAGTGTGGGAATTGAACCTACACTGTTGACATTGCTAACCAGACATTTAGCCAATTGACCGAACCAATGCCTCCTTCTTAATGCAGGTACTATGCTTGGGAGCGCAACACACAATGGTTTATGGAGACAAAGGAAGACTGACTAAGTGGAATAGACAGAATTATGACTGACGGAGTTCAAAGTACCAGCAGCAAAACAATAAAGCTCAGTAACAGCCCAGAAATGACCTCAGAGCATCCAGTTTGGCATTTTTAGAGATTCTCCCATGGAAGAACCATCTGAGGCTTCCTTCCAACCAAGCTTTTCTGGAGTGTTGGGAACTTCATATTACATGAGACAGAGGAAAATGCTCCTTCACCCTTTTTTGAAATTTCATGAAGCTCCCAGCTGCACAAAATCATGGCTGAAAATTGAACGGAGTCAAGATGAAACAGCAATAAATTGAAAGGATCTCTTGTTTCCTCACTGAGTGATGAATCACAGTCCACTTGAGACCAAATTCTCAAAGTACCTAGGCATAACATTTGTTTCTATTCATGCTTTGTGGAGCCTGTGTTTGTAATTTCTGGAGGATAATTTCACTCAGGTCTCAATTCTGAACCCAAATTCGAATGAATCATAAATTGAAAATTTATGAAATACTTTTACATTCTTCCAATATCTCAGAGGGCAGAAAACTAAAAGCCTGCATAGAGCCAAATCTATGTGACTGAATCTGGCTAAGTTTCTTACTCAGATTTACCTATGGTTAGAATAGCACACTGAAGAATATACAAAAGCAATACAAATAGAACCAGTCCACAAGAGGTTAATAAACAATATTCAGAAAGCTTTTTCTTGCCATATCTTCTTAACAGTTTCTGAAGACAGTTTCTATGGACTGTAACAGTAAATTGCATTAAAAAACATTGCTGAGATCCTATCAGGTCCTAATATATATTAATTATGAAGTAAACAAATAACTAGAAACCTTGAGATGTTATGGATTAAAGGGAATTCTTCTTTTGATGTAGAAGCTCAACTGTTAGGGCTTATGAGTTTGATCAAATTAACCATCAAAGCAGTAATGGTGACAATGACAGCCTAAATCACACATTAAAAGGATTTTCTAAAAGCTTAGCAATCATTGAACACAAAGCCATCTGTACCTTGTGGATGTTTCCAAATCATTGCCATCTGTTAAGCTCCATGCTAATACCTTTAAACTGCTTATTTATCCATTTAATAGAACCCTTTTATCAGCTATCTGTTTATCTGCTGAGTGAGTGTTGTCTCCCATTTTACAACGCATTAAAAGAGGGCCAAGCTAGTTTGAGATCCCATGAAATAAAGGTATCAGTTTCTGTTTTCATCACAGGTATAGCTTACAGGTCTCTTAATGAGTGAGAACTCAGTTCTCTAAAAAGCAGAAAGTGGAACATTAAACTCTCTTCCTTGCCCCTGAAATTTATATTGTACAAGTGAGAAAATTTAATTTATCACATCATCTGATGTCTCCAGCAAGTCCACAGTGCCATTCCCTTTAAACACAAAAAGATCCTTGCTCACTCTCTCCAGATAGGACTGGAATCAACAATTATACATTGGCATAAGATGTAGACATGGCAAGGATAGAAATTGGAGTGGAATAATTATAGTTGTTCCTTGTGACATCAGCAGCATTGGTGTTTTTAGCACGAAAGAGGTCTGTGTCAAACCTTTTCTAGCAGTGATAGTGGTATGGGGTAATGTCATTGGACAAATAA